TGATATTATTTAATACTATTTAAAAAGAGGTGATGTTGTTACGGTTATCAGCTCACAAGCCGATAATACTATAGCAATACTTAACTTGCTACTTTACCTTTACGTCACGTATGAGAGTTTTCAGTCTGTGGCTTTAAGTATGGTTTTATTGTCCTGTGATTTACATTTGTTTGATGTCCTATCTGTTTGTTTGCTTTTAATATATATATATATATTGATGTACAGCACTTTGGTCAACTCTGTTGTGTTTAAATGTGCTATATATATATATATAAAGTTGGATTGGATTGGATTAATTGTCACCAGTAGTCATCTACTGAAAAACACTGTTAATGCCACCATCGTTTCAACATCAGACAAGTCTGTATGTCTCCCAAGCTCCACCTTTTCAGTAAATAAGAATAAGGTATTTTTTGTACAACTACCACACACAAACTGGCAACATTCCAGCATCTACAATCAAAATTCATTCAAAATGAATTATGGACTGTTAGGATACGATCCCCACTGCCTACAAAAATCCACTCTTAAGTCAAGTTCACCTTCCATTAAGTGTGCAAGAATGTTGGCTTAAAATTGAAATTCAAACTCCTCTTCCCTCCCACAATTCATCCAGGCATTTCATTGTCCCTGGTGGTTTTTTGTTCTTCTGAAAAATACAATATTGTTACCAAAGCTGTGTTGAATGCTGCTAATTACTGTGCTGCTCACATCTGCTTTAGTTCATGTTGGCAGTGGCTTTCTTTACGTGAGAATGATTCTGTTTTGTGTTGCCCCTGACTGTCTTAATAATACAGCCCAGTAGAAATGAAATAGCACCCTAGGAATTTTGCCAGCGACAGGAAACCACTCAGATGCAACATTCTTTCATTAAAACATATTGTGAGGATCGCTCTAATGTTGTGTCCTGAAAGCAGTTAACCCTTGAACAGCCTCAGTGAATTGGCTCACAGAACCAGACTCCTGATCTGAAATGAAGCCTGTGTGTTGCTGGGTAACTCCTGTGCTGGTGATTTGAAGTCATAGAGTCATTTCACAAATGTGACATACTGACTTCCAAATATCACATAAATGAGAGCCCTTTTTGGCTGGCAAAATGTGGTTTCTAAAAACCCAATTGCATTTGGACATTTCCAGACAACATTTCAGTGAATAGGATTTTGAACTCTCTACTCTTCCTGTTATTTTGATCATATAAGAGATCAACACCAAAGCCGACCTCATCTCCAGTTTCCCATCCAAGAGCAGAAGTGCTTTTATTCTACATCACAGTGATGGAGAGCATTATCAGGTATCACAGCCTGGTATGGTTACCTCACAGTGCAGCTTAAAACTAAGATCGTTCGCCTCGTACAGACTGCCATGAAAATGATGGGGGTTCAAAAATATCAACCCCCCCAAAACATTTATGAGAAGTCACTCATTAAAGAGGCATCTGATCCACCTCATATCCATCAGGCAGAGCTCCAGCTCTTTCCTTCTGGTAGGAGATTTAGGGTCCCTAAAAGCAGGCTAACCCGTTACCAACACTCATTCCTGCCAATTACACTTCTCAACAAACAAATGCAATGTATAGTTTAAATGTTGGAGTTTGTGCAATAGGGCGTCATGTTGTCTGTGTATATGTGTACATGCAAACTGTGTACATGTAGTGTACGTCATGTCTGAATATGCAGTTGTCTTTTAAAGTGTACTATGTAGTATTTATGTTTTTGTTATTTATTATCTTTGTGAAACTGCAGGAGTCCAAAACGATGTCCTTACGAGGACAATAAAGTGAATTTTATTGTGACTTCCTGCTCCAGGCCCCCCTCCTAGGGATCCTACCTCAGCAGCCATCTGCCCTTAGCCCCTGCATCAGAGACTGGGCCTGGGGGAGCTGGAGGGGCTCCTCACAGAGGGGCAGTAAGTCCTCACAGCCGCAGGGAGCTCCAGGATCCTCTCAGTTAGCTCCCAGATGTGTGAAAAATGCTATGATAGACCAGCTCCATGCACCAGCAGAGGCCAGGAAACAAAGGGACAATGATGTTCCTGGTTTTTGTGGTGCTTTGAACACCACCCAGCCCCTCGTGCTCAGGGAGAAGCACAACGCCATGCAGGTGGACAGCATGCTTTCCTGGGTTATGGGCCGAATAGCTCACTCCTGGGCAGATTGCTGGCTGGATGCAGAGCTGGATGGGTTACTGTATTTACTCGCTACATCTGTGCTTTTAGGATTAAACTCGGGGTCATGGCAGCTCCACAATATATTTGATGACTCCTTTATTGTGGGGTGCAAAGGTTAAGAGAACATCTGCCAGAGGAGTCCAGTCAGCTGTTACAAGTGCAAGCATGTGCAGCTCAATATCAGCGAGATAAAGAGGCAAGAGGTGGATTTAGGGATGTCACCATCCCCACTGTGGAGAGTGGAATAGTTGGTTTCATTAGATCCAACAGAATACTCTCCTAGTCGAGGCCACCAACGGGAAATAAACTGGTGAGAAAAACTGGCTCTGTTCGAGAACATAAGCTGAACACCATCTTGGACAACACTCCCCCCTCTCCATCGTAAGCGGGTGCAGCTATGGTGCACGATGACCTTCCACCTCATCTACTGAAAGTGCAGAGGCAAGCTGTTAGCTGACCGTCTGTGTCAACAGTCATTAAACTGTACGATTACTCTGGTCTAAATAGCTCATATCTCAGCCAGCTGAACTCTTGTGTCCCGCGCTGACAGCACAGTGAACGCACCGCGCTGCGTTCAGGAGGTGGAGTGCTCATCCTCCAACCCCAAGATCGCTGTTCCTGCAGTCAAAGTGTCCTTGGGCAGGATGCTTAACCCCAAGCTGCTCCCTATGGCAGGGCCACGGTGTGTGAGAGTGTGTGAGAGTGTGTTAAAGGTTGCATGTCATGCTTCTCCGGTTATTACCCGTCCCCTTGTGTGTTATGAAGGTTTTTCTGCATGT